CAGGAACTGCGAGACACACAATAAATGATTCTGTGCAACACACAAAAAGTTATGACGGAGGAGGAGAGGAGGAGGAAGTCCTGGTTGTGAATGTCGGCGACGTGCTGATGTATTTGTGTTCGAGTGTCGACCACGTGGTGGTGTCTTGAGCTGAGCGAACCCAAGTGAGGTCGTTCGGCTTGCCCTGCTCGTTGGTTGGCGTGGGCGCTGGGTGCAGGTCGGGTCGGTGTTCTTGAAGGAAGCTGATGAGGTCGTCGTCCCAGCGCTTGCGCTGGCCGCCGTGGTGTCTCCGGCCACGTTGCCGTGAGTTCTCTCCTGGTTGCCAGTGCAGTGCACGCCACGTCCATCTGGTGGGCTCGTGTTTGGCTACCTTGGATGCCATGCGCCACGACCTCTGTCTGTGAATCGTCTCCCAGTTTTCGATGTGGTGGTGCTGCATGAGCTGTTCTGCGCGCCGCGTGGCTCGCTGGATGTAGTCGACCCACGGCTCCATCGCGTCCTCGTCATTGTTGTTGTCGTTGCTCTCGCTGTGTCGGTCGGTCGTGTCTTGTTGGGGCGCGTTGCTCTCTGCGTCGTCGCTGCTGCTGGTTTCTTGGTCAGGTGCTTGAGTGGTCGTGCGGTCGTCCGCGTGTTCTTGGGTGCTACTCGTCGGGGTCGTTTGGCGGGTAGCGCGTCGCCTTGGTGTCCTGATGATCATGCGGAGCATGCGTCGTTGTGTTCGCCGCAGGTGTTGCCGAAGAGGTTCCGTGAGCGTCCATGTCTCTGCTCCGTAGAGTGCTGCGGGTGTTACGGTCCGGCTGAAAAGTCGAAGTCGGTGTGCCAGTGGGTAGTGCTTGCTTGTCAGCTCCTGTTTGTGCGAAGTGAACGCCCATGCTGCCCTCGTACGGTGGTGGATTTCAGTCTCCATCGCGTCGTGAAAGCTGATGAGCTGACCTAAGTACTTGATGCTGCCATCGTGGGGAAGGATGTCGATGTCCATGCCCTGAATGTGTACTGTGCGCGAGCTTGCCCTGCCAGTCCGTCTGGTCTGGTTGCTGAGTATTTTGGTTTTGGAAGGGTGCAACTCAAGTCCGTGAGGTCGCACTGCGCGCACGATGTCGTCGAGCATCGCGGTGAGGCGCGGTAGAGTTTGGCTAGTCAGGAGCACGTCGTCGGCGAAGCGGAGGTTAGTGAGCGTGGAGGTGGTGGTGAATCCTAGCTGCACTCCCTTGCCCTTCTTTTGCCAGTCGGTGATTAGTGGTGCAAGACTGTGCTGTAGCAAAGCGTTGAAAAGCAAGGAACTGAGCGGGTCGCCCTGCTTCGTTCCACGGAGGAGACTGAAGGACTTGCTGCTGACGTCAGTCCTGACCGTGGCCGTCTGCCCCTCGTACAGCTGTTGGAGTAGTGAGATGTATCCTCGTTGGACGCCCTGTGCCTCCAGCGCTGCCCACATGCTATTGTGCTCGACGGTGTCAAAAGCTTTTTTGAAGTCTAGCGCCGCTACCCACAAGTTCTGGTTCCATTCGTGCGCGCGCTCACGGAGAATATGGAAAGCGAATAAGTGGTCGGTGGTTGAGTGTCCTGGCCTGAAGCCGGCCTGGTCTGCAGTTTGTCGGGAGTCAAGTGTTGGTTGGAGTCGGTTGTAGAGAAGTCTGCTGAAAAGCTTGTAAAGCAATGGTATTGTGCATATGGGCCGATAGTTTTGCGGAAGCGTTAGATCCCCACTCTTGGGAATGACCGTGACGACAGTGCTCTTCCAGCTGGTCGGCGGCGGAGCGTCGGACTGGATGATCGCGTTGTAGAGGAGAGGAGAGGAGGACGAGGGGGAGCATGAATAATGAGATATTGAAGAATGAATCAGCGGAGTGGGAGGGTGGATGGGAATTATGAGCGGGTGGGGGAGGGGGAGTATGGGGAGGTGGCTAAGGCTGGTGAAAATGGGGCACGTGGATCGTTTATTTGTTGACCCCTTCCGGTGTGTTCGTCAACCTCGTCCTCGTCCTCTCGTCGTCCTCTTCCTCCTCCTCCTTCTCATATTCCTTATCATATTCCTCCGCCTCCCTCTGAACCTCCCCCCTTCGTTCCTCCTCCTGCGCCGAATGCCTCATCGGCGGATCAATGTCTCTGGCACCCCCTGGTTTTTAACCTCGTATCCTCGGAAGGTCGCCCACTGTCCACAACCCTCCCCTTCCTCCTGCTCTTGCTGCGCGCCACCTGGAAGCGAACTCTGGTCCAAACGCATCAAAGTATCGGAGGCGAAGGGGTGAGATCGCAGTGAAGCGGAAAACCCCCCCACGGGGACTAGGGCGCTGCTGGGCCCAAGAACCGCCCCACTGGGTTGTCAAGCGGTGGCTGGGGGTGTCCCGCGGGTGTCCCGTAATGCGATCGATTGTGAGATCGATTGTTGTGAGGTCGAACAGGAGATCGGTACTGATGTCGGTCGTGATATCAGTAATGATAACCATCGGAAGATCGATGATGACACCGGCAACACTATCGATAATGTGTGTTCGTTCGTGATGCCGACAAACATATCCGTAGTGATCTCGATCTTGATATTGTCAGTGATATCGATAGTGAAAAAGATAATGCGGTCGATTGTGAGATCGAGAACGCGACCGATAGTGAGATCGATCGTGAACTCGTTCGATTGAAACCGCTCGTGAGGTCGATTGTGGGAACGATCGTGAGACAGCTAGTGAGACCGCTACTGATATCGCGATTGAGATCGATAGTGATAACGATGCTGATATCGATAGCAATATCGATGGCGGAATCGAACGACATCGCTCGACAGATATGTACTGATGTCGGCTGTGAGATCGATTGAGTGAGACGTTGGTCCCTCCCCCCCAAACCTCCTTATCACCTGAACGGTGGTTGTATGGGCAATTGAAATGCGGCCGCCACGGCTGCACCGCCGCCCCCGTCACACGGCCCCAAGCCAGCTCGGCCTGGGTTGCAGTCGTGGCAAGACCGCGCTCCAAGACCGCTGGTGTTGGTCGGTGGCTGCCGCGGCTGCCGCGTCTCTCGACACGGACGCAACACGCAGGTAGCGCGCAGCATGCAGGCATCTGATGGTCATTTCGACGGATTGGGGTTGTACCCAGCCTGGGAGCGTGACCGCCGGGTCAAGGATCGCCTTCTGGACCCTGCCGGCCGGAGTGACCCGCTCGAGCTCGGTGATGGTGCGCTCGATGTCGACCTCCGCGCGGCAGTCTCGCTAACAGGCGGGCCAGACTCGCCGCTAGGGCGCGGTGCGGTCTCATCCTGGCTGGGTCCTGCTGGCGACGCTGCGGGTGCTGGAAGCCCCGATCCAGCTGCTGGCCGCAAAAGTTCGCAGTTCACAACCTCCGCGCTGACTCCGGCACGTCGCCCCTGCAGGCACAGACAGCGCGCCGAGTCTGCGCAGCGTGGCAGCCCTGAAGTGCACCGTGGGGAAATCGTCCGCCGGCTGCGTGGGCGTCTGGAGCCAGATGGCGCCTGCGCCAGGGCTGCAAGCGGACAGCGAACCCTCGCACTGTCTCGGCACTCTCGCCGGCAAGCCGACTTGCGGGCCCGACGGCAGCGTGGCTTCCGGAACGATCCGCAGAGCGCCGAGATCATCGACCGCGGCTCCTTCTCCAGCTCCTGCTCCTACTGCTGTTGCTGCTGCTGCTGGTGCTCCTGCTCCTGCTCCTCCTCCCTCTTTCTTCCTCGTCGCCATGGCTTGACGCGGTTCGGGACATGCTCGTCTACGACCTCGTCCTCGTTTCTCCTCTTCTTCCTCCTGCTCAGCCCCCTTCTCCTGGCACCTCGGTCCTCGACGCCCTCGCTGGCCCGCTTGCGGTTCCAGAGAGCGGCTCAACGCTGGACCAAGTCACGAACCTGCCGCAAGGATGCCAGCGGAATGGCGGAAGCCTGTCGTGTAGAAGCAGTCTCCGAATGGTTGCGCCATAAATTGCGCCCTCGGCGGCCGAGAGAAAAACCGTCTCCGATCGGTTGCGCCGTAGGTTGCGCCCTCGGCAACCGAGAATAAAACCGTCTCCTATCGGGTGCGCCAAAGGTTGCAACCCTCGGCGGCCAAGAATACAACCGTTTCCTATCGGCTGCGCCATAGGTTGCGCCCTCGGATGCCGATGATACAACTGTCTCCTATGGGTTGCGCCATAGTTTGCAACCCTTGGCGGCCGAGAATTTTGCACCTCCAGCAGCGTGGCGCGCAGCGCGCCGCGATCCGCGTCCTGCAGCCCGAGCCCCCCAGACGGCCCTTCGCCGCCGCTGGAGGCCCGCAAAGGCGGCCTCGAGAGGCGAGAGGCAGAGAGCGCGGGCGCCCGCGCAGGCCGCCCGAAGGGCGAGGCGCTGCGCGGGCCAAAGACGCACAGGGCAGCAGGCCCGCGCGCGGACCGTGACCCAATGGGCTTCTCCGCCAAACCCTGCAGAGAGCGCTGGCGCCCGCGCAGGCAGCAAGGGCAAGGTGAGGTGCTGCGCGGGCCGATCAATGGGGAACGTTCCCAAACCCTCGCGCCACCGTGTGAAAGCCGACAGTATGAGCGAAGCCGAGGTGGCAGCACAGTATTGTAAAGGACGCGTCCAACACAAAATGACATGGCGTGGCAATGACAATGCACAAGCGACGAAGCAAGTAGAGAGAGCGAGCGGCAAAATGCCAACATGCCGACGTCAAAACTCAATCTCGCCTCGAACCTGCTCGTCCAGAGACAACTCACTGCGACCACGCATACGGTTTGCATAGCTGCTATTCATCCCAACGATCAAGGTGAGAACATGATGCTTGCGCTCGATGTCTCCGAAAGCGTCGTGCACGAGGCTTAGGGCGTCGTCGAGGGTCATGCCCTCCTCCCGCACCAAGAACCGCGCCAGCACGCTAAGGAAAACATCGTGAGGGAACACGGCGAGGGTGGCCTCGGGCGGCCACCTGCAAGGCCGTCAACTCCGTCTTGCCAGATGCGCCGCTGCTCGTCATCGAGGCCTGCCACGCTGGCCTCGGCCGCTGGCCGTGCAGCGACGACGGGCCAGGGATGTCCTCTTCCACCTCGCACTCCAGGGCCTCCTCACCACCCACCAACGAAGGCCACGGTGGCGGAGAGAGCGGAGACAGGGTTGGAGGCGCACGTGGCGACTCCTCGGACGGGGGCTTCTGGGACTCCGCGGCCTGGGGCTGCACGAAGTCCGCCACGACCTCCACAACAGCGGGGGGCGAGAAGACCGTGGCACCGCACGTGCAGGTCCAAGGCGTCCCTTGTACAGGAACGGGCGATAGGGCATCCGAATGCAGCAGCGGTGGCGGCGGCCTCGGGGCAGCGGGATCGGACCCGCGGTCCTGCTGCCCGAGGCGCTCCCCCGCTGCCGCCCACGCCAGCTCGGCCTCCGAGGCGCGGCAGAACCCGCGAGGAGGAACGCGCCGCGCGTGGAGAGCAACGTTGCGCCGCCGGCGCGCCTTGCCAGGGACGCGCCGCTGGGCGACTGCTGCGACCAGCGCGGCCTGCTCCCTGTCCTGCAAAGAACCAGGCGCGGCGGCCCCCGCGTGCGACCGCAGCCAAGCCTCACAAGTATCGCGGCGTCTGCGGTGGGCGAGGCGCCTCGCCGCAGAGGCGCCGAAGGCAGCGGTGTCCGCCGCGCGTGTCGAAGTGGGCCTCCGCTAAGACGGGCGGCCCCCCGTAGCCATCATCGCACGGGCTCCGCGCGATCACGCGCGGGCGAGGCAGCTTGAGCCAAAATGGCTACGGAATCGGCGGCCGAGAATAAAACTGTCTCCTATCGGTTGCGCCATGGGTTGCGCCCTCGGCGGCTGAGAATAAGACCCTCTCCTATCGGGTGCGCCATAGGTTGCGCCCTCGGCGGCCGAAAATAAGACCGTCTCCTATCGGTTGCGCCATAGGTTGCGCCCTCGGCGGCTGAGAATAAAACCGTTGCGTAACGGGTGCGACCAGTCAGTTCAGTTCAGTTCAGTTCAGTTCAGTTCAGTTCAGTTCAGTTCAGTCAGTCTACCTCGCGAGAAGCAAATTCGGGTTACTCCCGGAAATTCCATTCTCGGGACTCCAACGCCACGAATCAACATGACGTTTGCGTCTTTTTGATCCGGAATCGTGCAAGAACACCGTTCCTGGGACTTCAACACCGCGAGTCAAAGTAACTGTTGCGCCTTCACAATCCAGAATTCTTCCAGAACGCTATTTCTGGCACGTTGGCCATAATAATCCGTGAAACTCTTGCAAATGTTTGAAGCGGATGCGCGCGGCCCTAAGGCGAGAACGAAATTATCAAAACCGCCCTCAATCCGTGAAGCTCTTGCAAGCTATTAAAACGAATGTGCCCGGCGCTAAGGCGAGAACTACATGTTGAAAACCGCCCGCCCTCCACCCGTGAAACTCTTGCAGCATTTTACAATGTATGCGCGCGGCGCTAAGGCGAGAACAACCTTTTGAAAACGCCCCGCCCCCGTGAAGCTTTGGCACGTTTTCAAAACGAATGTGAGCGGCGCTTCGGCGAGAGCCACTTTTTGGAAGCGACCCGCCCTCCATCTGCGAAACTGTTGTCAGCGTCTACGCTTCAGGGTCATAAGCGGTAATGAAGTCTCTGGAGAAACGCGCGGCCCACTCTTTCGACTGGCCTCGGGATACGACAGGGAATAATCATTCATCATGAAAGGGGAATGGAGGAGGAGCAGGAGGAGAAGGAGGAGAAGCAGGAGGAGGAGGAAAACAAGGAGGAGGAGGAGGAGGAGGATAAGCAGGAGGAGGAGGAGGAGGAGGAGAAGCAGGAGGAGGAGGAAGACAAGGAGGAGGAGGAGAAGCAGGAGGAGGAGGAGGAGGAGGAGGAGGAGGAGGAGTCACAGTGTCACAAGGGAGGTCAGAGAAAAATCAATGATAAGAAACGGGGAGTGGCTAGCGCAGAAACGAGAAGGAGGAGAAGGAGGAGGCGGAGGAGGAGGAGGATGAAAAAACAGGAAGAAACAGGAGGAGGAGGACGAGCAGGATGATGAGGATGAAGACGGAAGATAAGGAGGAGGAGGAAGATAAGAAGGAGGAATAGGAGGAGGAGGCGGAGGAGGAGGAGGAGGAGAGAAGGAGAGGGGGAGCAGGATGATGATGATGATGATGATGATGATGATGATGATGATGATGATGATGATGCTGATGCTGATGATGATGCTGATGCTGATGCTGATGCTGCTGCTGCTGATGATGATGATGCTGATGCTGATGCTGATGATGATGGGGAGGAAAGAGGAGGAGTAGGAGTAGGAGTAGGAGGGGGAGGAGGAGGAGGAGGAGGAAAGAGCAAAAGAGGAGGACGATGATGATGATGATGCTGATGATGATGATGATGATGAGGAGGAAAACAAGGAGGAGGAGGAGCAGGAGGAGGAGGAGGAGGAGGAGGAGGAGGAGGATGCAGAGGAGGAGGAGCAGGAGGAGGAGTCACACTGCCACAGTGGAGGTCGGAGAAAGTTAGAACGGTAGGAATGGGGAGTGGCTATCGCCGAAGACCTTTTTGCACCACTGTGGGAGGCGCCGTCCCACAGTGGGCCAGCGACAAGCCAGAGGAGGAGGAGGAGGAGGAGGAGGAGGAGGATGAGGAGGAGAAGCAGGAGGAGGAGGAGGAAGGCAAGGAGGAGGAAAGGAGGAGGAGGAGGAGGATGCAGAGGAGGAGGATCAGGAGGAGGAGTCACACTGCCACAAGGGAGGTCGGAGAAAAAAACAATGATAAGAAACGGGGAGTGGCTAGCGTAGACACGAGGAGGAGAAGGAGGAAGAGGAGGCGGATAAGAAGGAGGAAGATGAAAGAGCAGGAGGACGAGGAGGAGGACGAGGATGATGATGAGGAGGAGGAAGAGGAATAATAATCTAAGGAGGAGGATGACGAGGAGTAGAAGAAGGAGAGGGGGAGCAGGATGATGATGATGATGATGATGATGATGATGATGATGATGATGATGATGATGCTGATTATCATGATGATGATGATGATGATGATGATTCTCCCGCTCGCGCGCTAGCGAGCTGTCTCCGAGCGCGGCCGCGGCTCGCGCGCGCGGGGCGGCCCCAAATGGGCAGGCCCGTCCCGCGCGCTCGTGCCGGGGCGCCGCGCGTCAGGCGGGGGAGACCGCCTGCTCGCCGACGACGGCGAGGCAGCGCCCATCAGCCTTAGATTGGGAGAGGAGGGAGGGGGGCAGAGAAGCTGCGGAGACAGCAGGAGCTTGCTCACAGAGAATAGAAGAGGCATTCTCCCGCTCGCGCGCTAGCGAGCTGTCTCCGAGCGCGGCCGCGGCTCGCGCGCGCGGGGCGGCCCAAAATGGGCAGGCCCGTCCCGCGCGCTCGTGCCGGGGCGCCGCGCGTCAGGCGGGGGAGACCGCCTGCTCGCCGACGACGGCGAGGCAGCCATACCCGTGCTCAAGGACCTTGCGAAGTGACAAGGTTTCGGCGGGCGGCCGCAAGTAGGGCAGGCCAAGCGGCGGGGCCGACTTGGAGAAATGAAGCGACAAGGCGGTCGCTGGCGGTGGCGAAGAACAGGATCCGCGCCCGTGCGGGCACGGGCAGCGCAGCAAGAACTGTGGAAGCGGCGGCGGCTTGCAGGTAGCGCTCAGCACTGGAAGCCTGACGCCAACGCCCCCGCCAGAAGACGCGAGGGACGTCTTCCGTAGCGATATAGAAGTCTGTTGCGCCAGAGCCCCGCAGACATGCGGGCGTCAGGTTGAGCCCCTGACCCGCTTTGGCAAGAGGGACGCCCAGGGCCGAAAGCAAATGATTCCACCGAGTACGGAAGCCGCTCGCACCGAAAGGGGCGAGAGGATCGGTGGAAGCCAACCGCCCAAACACTTGATTCAGAATCTTCACCGTGCCCCGATCGGAGCAGCGAGCATGCTGCGTCGGGTACGTTCTCCTGGTCTTTGGAACAAGAATCGAAAGAAAAGCATCCCCTTCAACTTCGAGGCGGTCGCAAGGAAGCGACAAGTCACAGCGGCGTGACGCCAGCAGCTCGCCAGGCCTGAGGAACATCGTAAAGCCCATGAGCAGCAAGGCCGCCATCACAGGCCAGTCCCAGGCGAAACAGAGACCGACCATAGCGCGCAGCAGAGCGCGAGGTAAGGGCGGGCGGAGCTTTGGCGGCTCCGCGAGCTTCCATTGTCTCGCTACGTCCCAAGCTTCTGTTAGAAAGGCCTTCCAATGCGGATGAGCGCTCTGGATTCCCAAGATGGCATGAACCAGAATATAATGAGGGAAACCTGCATCATGAAGCCACACGCCGAAGGTCGCGAGGAAGCGGGCGAGAAGTAGCCCGCTACGGTAAAGAGTGGCGGGCGGCACGCCAGTGTGTTCTGCTAACCACAGTTCGAACGCATCAATCGATCTCGAGCGACGATCGAGATACGCGGAGGTGAGGTGAGAATCGCGCACGAAGGGAGTGCGCGGAGGGCGAGCGGGCGCAGAAGGCGCAGCCCGACTAAGCCCTTGGCCTGCGGTCGGCGCCGCGGCTCCCAGAGAGATGCAGAGGCCGCAGACGCACCACAGGATGAGCGCAGGGCGGCCAGGGCTGGGAGAGCTGATCAGCGTGGCGGCCCTCCTGCTCCTGGACGCGTAGAAGGGCGGAACGAGGGTGTCCCGCCCGTCGGTCTCGAACCCCGACGCCTCCGCCAGCATCGCCCGCGCCGAGGTGAAGGATCCGCCCATGTTACGGTGAGCACGGCGAGCCCCTGCTTCGATGTCGGCGGGCAGAGCGTCCCCTCCCTCGAGGGTCGCCCAGTCAAAGGGCGGGCGCGGCTCGGCGCGCGCAGCTGCGGCCGATTCGGCGAGCTCGGAACGAGCTGCCGAGGACGTGAGGCCCGAATGATGTGGAACGGGCACCACCTCCGCGAACGCGTCGAGGATCTCGGACGGAGGGGAATGAGATCCCCACAGCGCTGCTGGGATGGCGCCGTGACCGTCCTGCACGTGGTACAGAAGGTCGAAAAGGCAGGCCAACTTGCCCGCGCGCCTCCTGTGCTCGATCTTTGAGCCGAGCCCGATGCCACGGATGGCGCCCGCCCCCATGGCTTGGAGGTCAGCGCCCGCGGGGATAGCCTCGGGCTCGACGGCGGCCACGTAAGGATGCAACCACGAGGCTTCGTCGATCGGCTCGGCGCCGCCTGTCTGAAACAGGCGCTTATAGGCGTGCAAGGCCTGCAGGAGGCAGTGCAGGTCATCTCTGCCTTCGGGCTCGGCGGCCCCTGCGGGTGCGAAAGACCTCAGCCACGACGCCGCGCTCTGGAAGGCAGCTTGCCAGGCGGGTCCCCACCTCACCACTGTGACCTTCTCACCGCCGAGGTTGAGACGCCACGCTAGGGCGGTGGCGGCCCCTGGAGGCAAGGGCTGCTCAACGGCCGCGGAGGCCGTGCGCCGCGCTGCGAAGGCTGCAGCCGCGGCGCTCCCAGCGTCGCCGCTGTGGGGGCCGCTGGGATGCAGCTCGTGCCCTGAATCTCGGCCAGGCGCGGGGCCGCTCGAAGACCCCCTTTCCTCGGCGGCACGCCCTCCGCCCTGCGGGGCCGCAACGGCATCGCTGGAGGAGCGCGTGCCTACCGAAGACGGAGGGGCCTGAGCAGCGGAGTCCGCGCGGGAGCTGCCTGCGTGGGCGTCGCCCGAGCTCGCATCATGGCGGGACGTGG